CCCTCGGCTCCGTTCCCGTCCCGACTCCAGGATGTCCGACAGCAACGCAAGTCCCGCCGACCGGGTGATCAAATGTAGGCATGCCAAATCCTGCACGGCCAGTGAGAGCTACCTCTGTGCCAATAATTCTGCTGTAACTCATCGTTTCTTTTCTTTCTGTTTGCATCGCTGTCGTTGCACCAGTGTCTCTTATTCGCACGTTTTTGGTTTTTTTTTGTTTTGAGTCCATACCTTTATTTTATTACCATACCACCACCTTATAATAAAAGAAGCACCATTTGGCTGGCGAGTCACCATGCATGTGCCTCTGAACCTTTTAGGGGGAGGGAGGGGGTGATGAAGGGGGGTATCCAATACGATATGCCATAATCAGGGTCTTCCCTCGTTATTCTATTAGAATTCACCCCCTCACCGAGGCATTACCCCATTTTCTAACGGGGGGATGTCTCTCCCTCTATGTATAGCCAAAGCTATTGTGCGACACCCTGTGCTGCATGAGCTCCATTTACGCGCTCCACTCCTAGCGGTGGTTTCGTGTTACTGAATAATACCCTACAGAGACACAACCGAGAGAGTGATAGAGAGAGGAAAAAGCAGGGAGGGAGAGAGGGAGATGAGCATCTTGTTCCAATGAAACATCAAGCAGTGTGACGATGACAGCGAAAGGCAGACATAAAGGTAAATAAATGTTACGCATAACCTGCGATCTTTGGTGTTGTGTGGTTCTGCTGTGGATGTGGATGGTGTCACGGGATGATGTTGCATGTAAGCAGCGATGTAAGGAGAGAGAGAGGGGGAGAGAGGGAGGGTAAGATGCTATGGGGGACTTGTCACTCGGAGACTCAAGGATTTTGGAGCTTTCTGTTCTTAGTGTTTATATAGTGTGTCTGTGGCCGTGCGTAGTGGTGCCCCGGTGTTGGATGTGCCGACTGCCTCTATAGGTTGGCCTACATTTGCGATCTAGTTGTATTTTTCGCCGAATCTGAGCCAAAGTCAGGTAATCCAATGGTTTAAAAGGCAGGTAGGCTGACAACTTTGCCAGGCCGAGTGCGCATCCTTATACCTGTGAGTTCGGTTTTAATTATGTAGGCCTGTTAGATTAAATCAGCCTGATGTTTGCTGATGTGACGTTTAAAAAAACCACGAGTGCACAAGATGGATTTACGAGTGGTTTTAAGTCGACGTTTTCTCCGTAAGGCCTGAATGTCAGCGGGTGATTGTGCTTCTCCCGTGCGTATCGTTCTTCCACGTCTCCGTAAAGGTCTCCCTGGCTTCCCCCTCTTTATTTCCCCGAGTGTCAACTGAGAGACAAAACTGAGTTTAGGGATGCTGCGCTGCGTGTCTGAGCCCATTGCCCGACGATGCTCATGCATACCGCCCTAATGGTGTAATTGCATCACTGGATTATGGAATATTTAATGTGTTTATGAGAGTGTCTGTTTCAGCTTTACGCGTGGGCGGCTATAGGGGAGGCGAGGAGGGGCTCCGCTCGGGTTATGATCCGCGCAGCTTGCTCAGATTGTCGTGCTTATCGGGTCACAACAAGGCTGGCATGGCAGCGGCGCTTCCAAGCACACAGCCTGTCACATGCGACGATGCCTGGCTGGCTGTCTCTCCCACTGGCTCCCCTTAATAAACTCTCAAGGTCTCTCTGCCGGAAGAAGCGGAGCTGACAGTTGGATGCGTCGCTCGGGCATGCCCCGGTATTCCGTGCGTGCGTCGTGCTCGGAAGGGGGTGGGGTGGGCTGGGGGCGCGGGGGCTCTTGCAGTTTTTGCACGTAGGTCTTCAAGACTGCATGTGCCTACAGTACGGCTGTGGCTGTATGTGTGTAACTACATGGATGCAGTTGTGCAGGGGCGGTGCTAGAGAATGTGGATCCCCGGGAAAAAAAAACTGACTGCAACCAGATTAACACCGAGCCCCCAATCCATCCTTTAGTTATCTGCCTTTACCTCCCAATGAGTAGCTCCCTGCTCACATCTTCTTTTTACATCTTCATTTCTGTTTGCATGTGTGTTGTAGTGCAGCTGGGCCACCGGAGCTCAGCTGCCTCAACCCTGGAACAAACTAAGCGGCCTATATTCTCATGCATCATCCATCACACACAAATATAAATGCACCTTCTCTAACAAACATGCAGAAAAACAACACAGCAATGAATCAGTCAGGTAAGAATGATTTAGCGTGCATGAAGCTGGAGAGGGATGGGGGCATCAGTCAAAGAGTCACTGCAGGCGGATGCACTGTGCCCGGTAGTTCCCCACGTTATGGATTTCAGTGATATTCAACGGAGAGAAGCGCACAGAGATGGAGCCAAAGGACAAAGCATACCGAGAGGAACGGGCAGAGAGTGTGGGGGCGAGGTGAGGGAGAGAGGGAAAGAGAGAATGTGACAAGGCCACGGAGGAGGTGAAGTAGTTGGAGCGAGAGAGAGAGAAAGAGAGCGAAGAAGGAGAAAGAAATACAAGGAAAGTAGTGTTTCACACTGTTGAGTGGCAGGACAGCATCCTCTGACTTAAACCAATGGACTCCTCACACTCTTTCCTGTCGGTCTGTGTGTGTGTGAAAAACAAGCAGGCTTCAGAGCCAAATTGTGAGAATGTGACTTTTACTTAAAAGTTTAGTTCAATAACTTAAAAGTAGTCTCCACCAAATGTTGCCCCTTTTTGAATTTTACACAGTAAGACAGTCTAGAGTATAACAGAAGACTTAATTCATCATTTTTAACACAGACAAAAGACATCCTGCTCATCAGTCTCTTTGTAGTGAACAGGAAGGAATCTTGGGTGACTCAATGTTATTTTCTAATAGACTGCCACATCATCTGCTACCAGAAAATACATACATACATGGAGGCTGGTACAGAAGCTCAGTTGGCCTTAATTTCAACTGTTGATTTTTCTAGAATACTGCAGTGAGGGTCAAAGCAGGGTACATATAGACCCACTGAACAAGGTCAAAGCACGTGGTTAGTGCTGAAAAGCTTAATTGACAAAGAGGTTTTCAATGACAGTATTAAAGATCAATTAGTTGAGTTTTGTGGGTGAAGTTCTGTGAATTAACAGGCACCAGCAACATGTGATACTTTCTAAACATGAAAACAAACATAATGCGCATTACGGATGATGTGTTCCAGTGCACAGCTTCTGCTTTATAGACCTTTTTCATGACGGAAGCACAGGTTTGTTTAATAACCTTAATGATGATGGCTGCGTTCCATATATCAGCTAGTTTTAGGGTCCTGCATCGTGTAGGGCTTACTTACAGAGCTCATTTGGTGTGAAAAGTGTCTATTGATAATGATAAATAAAAGTACCAAGCATTTTGTGGTTTCATACATTTGAGGACTAGCTGTTGTGAATCAAATACCAGTTGACACACAGTCACAAGTTGGCTTGATATGACAAAATATTCAGTATATTGCAATAGCCCTTTCTCGTGGTGGATATTTTGACATGTCAAACACAGGTGTGACTAATAACATTAATCATAGCTGTGTTCCATTTAGCTGTTCCAGTGTCAGGACCCTGGTAATGTGCATGCTGCCTCACTGTCATGGCCCGCTGGTTCACCTAAATGGAATAGCTGCATCATTAATGTCATTAGTTACACCTGCACTTCTCCTGGTGTGACAAGTCAAACTGCACAGTGTGAGAAAGGTCTATAGATCCTCAGAAATTACAATAGTTAAATTAAAACACCTGTCTGTCAAAAAGGATACATGAAGATAGAATTTATTGCATCTGATTTCACTAAACTTTCACTTTCAATAAAACACTACACTCATTGGATGCTGACTGTGTTGGCGTCGTAATGCAGTGCACATATAAACTAGGCCTAACTGCATGTTTTTACTGTTATCTTAGGTATGAAAATAAACATTTTAATAATCCAACATTGATTTTGGTTGATTTACTTCTGTAAACAAAACAAACAGGTTAAAGAAAAAAAGTATTTTCATTGTATTTTATGCTAATTCTGTTTGTCTCCATCTTTTAAACATTTCAGGAGAGTTTAAAACTAACAAAGCATCCAGGTGCTACACTTTTAGGTTGTTGCCTATCATATGTTTACTCAGCATACTGTATAATCTTGCTGCCAAATGTCATATATCAGGTAGGGTGCCAGTAAGTAAAAACAGTTTGATAATTTAATGTATTCAAATAGCAAGCGTTGTTAAAATCCTTGTTGAAAGAACAAATAACGTTTCAAGTTGCAAAGGTGTCATTTATCGCTTGTAAGCGGTGACCTTTTAAACCTATCATTGTATGTGTGAAGACCAAAGATGCAAAGATGAGCGTAACCACATCCAATATGCACACATGCATGTCTGCATTCATGCATGCACAAACACCCCCCCCCCCCCCCCCC